ACATTGTTGCTCAGCTAAAGCTTTAGACACAAATTAACCATCAGAGGGAATTTACGCTTGACAAATACAAGAAGGAAAGAAGGAAGCCTGACACAAATTAGACAACAAATGCCTTCCAATCCAACACATGCAGATTAGAACAATTTTAAAAAATGTCACAAATTTAGCTCCAATGTGATCAGACAGACTTGATAAACAAACATGATTCACACAGTCTCCACACTGGGGACTGAGGCAGATAAATAGGAATCATGAGGTTCATGGTTGACAGTAGTGTCTTGTCCTGGTGTCCCTGTCAGAGTTAAGCTGAAGCTCATGGGGATGACACTGTGTGTCTAATAACTGCACTGCACTGCAGAGCCGCTCTGTTTGCTGCAGTCACGACTGCCCCACAGAAACAACCAAACAGAGGACAGCAGGACAGGAAATGGCTGACAGGATGATTTCTAATCATCTGCTTTCTCCTCTGGCTTTGGGCTCTACAATTAATCACCAAAGTAAAAAAAAAAAAAAAAAAAAAAAAGTTCATGCTTTACAAATACAAAACCCAAAGGAAAGTTACTTTAATCACACATGAATTATTTAATACCCATCTCACTGTGGTTAGAAGTTTATAATGTGCGTGTATGCACTCAGCAGGGACACCTAGCTAACACTAACACAGTCTAATACAACAGCCTTATAATTAGGTACAGACATGAGTACTCGATTTGGACGTCAATATTCATCCAATGTATAGAACAATCCCAGCCCAGCCTTCTGCATGTGAACTTTTTTATTTTGTTTTTTGACTTTTTTCTTCACCATGGGTAACATCCTATGTTATTATAGAGTTCTGCGCAGCGTATTGCTTCAGCAGCGTCTTCTTGCCCCATTGTCGTTCTGTCTCTGTTTACCATGAGACGACTCGTGTGGAAGTGTCAGCTCTGAGCCTGGGAAAAGTGATCGCTATATTCTGTAGTCGCCCCCACAGAGTCGGCGCAGAGCGGGCTGAGAGCGGGCTGAGAGCGCATTAGGAGGAGGCTGTAGTAGTGATACAAAAGCTCTGTGTGGTAGCTGGATTCAGGGTTCCCAAGGTCATGGAAAACCTGGAAAAGTCATGGAATTCCAGTCACATTTTCCAGGCCTGATAAAGTCATTGAATTAATAAAAATTGTTGAAAGTTTTGTGAAAGTCAAGTCTCCATGGACTGAGCTACTGCTGCCCTATTGACCAACAAAAATTGCCAGAGCTATATTTCAGATCATTTTGGTGGGGAATTGGTTTTATTTTATTTTATTTATTATGGAGTTGTCAGGAAATAAAAGTCCCATGGTAGGGGGGCATGGTAGTTGTGGAATCTGTTTGAGGCTCCTCTTACCCGTTAAAGGCGCAATATGGTTAAGTCCACCCTCGTTCTAGGATTTGTCTTTACCCAGCTGGCACAGGACGTCAGTATGATGTCAGAAAAACATCGGATTCTTACATTGGGCAGATGTTTAATTTTGGTTGGAATGAAAATTGGGTTGATGACATTGTAAATGTCTAAAGACATTAGAATTTTATGTTGTGTGGACATTGACATTATGATGATGTGCAAACTTTCCATTTTGTTCTCCATACCACTAAATGGGGTCAGCTGTGGCTCAGAGGTAGAACGGGTCGTCCACCAATCTCAAGATTGGCGTTTGATCCCCGGCTCCTCCAGGTCGCATGTCAAAGTTTCACTGGGTAAGATACTGAACTCATCCGAGTGGTTACTGAGTAGCAGGTGGCACTATGTATGATAGCTTTGGCCACTAGTGTGAATGTGTGTGTGTGGATGGTCCCAACATTGAACTTTGATCACAACCTAAATTCAACCGAATATCAACATCAAATGATGCTAGCTAAAGCCAAGTGAGTGACTGCTCAGGCTGCTGGAGCATCATCGCATGCTGTTGTGTGTTTCACCAAGACGGGGAAATCAAGGGTCCAAAAAACAAAGAAAAGAAAGGGAAAGAAAGCAGACTGACTTTCACTGCCCCTGAGTGAAGGCACAACAATTGTAATGCCAATGAATATTAGGCTAGAAAATACATTATTGATAAAACGTGACTTCCAGCATGTAGCATGCCCACTTCCTATCTTCTGTCCAACTGCAGAGACAATCATTTTCTTGGTTGAACAGATACACTACAGCAAATAATGTCTCTGCACAGTAGAAATTTAGTTTGGGACAAGAGATTGTTGATCGACTGGACTACTGAAAAAATTGTTGTTCTTTTTTAGGTTTTAGGCTTTTTTTGTTTTGTTTTGTTTTGTTTTGTTTTGTACCATTTTTCTTGGATGAATGTACTGGGTGCACGGTGGAGGTCATCCTATATGGTGGCAGACAGTCAGTTGATTTGGCTCTGGCTATACAACCTAATGGAATATGAGCATAGTGCACACTGCTGTGGCTTATGTAGCTGACCAAGAAAGAGCACAGCCGCTGTCTCCATTGGAAATAATGGCCTTGCTGTTGGTGTGAAAGCCCTGTCATACTGAGAGCATTGTTTTCACTGGGAAAAACAAAACAGGCTCTGAAACTAAATGTTCCAAAGTTTGAGTCAGTTTCTCTTAACATGCCTGATGTGATTATGTTTTGCTCGGCTCACAGAGGCGCCTGCTGCATTTTATCAATTTCAGTTGGTCAATATCTTTCTCCAGACTCCAGGTTTTCAGTGTTTTTTCCCCATGGCCTGTCTTACTACAGTGCTTTAATCTGAGACATCCTCTGTGTATCAAACCTCCTTATTTTATCATCCATGAAATTGTGTTTACTCTATTTGCTTCTGTTTACTATTTTTGTCCTTTTCTTCTGCCCTCTCGAGGGCCTGATGCATTTAGATTTTCCTCTTCCCTCGTAGCCTTTGGGCTTCGTGGAACATAAATGTTCCCACGTGTTTTTGCTGATGTGGGAGTGACAGGAGACCAGAGACCATCAGTACAACAGTGCTGGTATAGTGATGTCCCGTGCACAGACATCATCAGTGCAGTCACTGACATGTGAATCACAAGCCAGCCAGGCGGAAAATTGCCAGCGGCTTGTTAATAGGATGCTGTTTAACCAGGGGAAGACTGGGAAGAGTGTGTGTGTGTGTGTGTGTGTGTGTGTGTGTGTGTGTGTGTGTGTGTGTGTGTGTATGTGAGTGTGTAGCAGAGCATACTGCTTTATGAAGCTGAACCTCCACAGCATGGAGAGACTGATCATAGCAGTACAATATACATGCAGTTTTGTGTTAGCATGCAGACACAGGGTATGATGATATTTGAACAGTAAGTCTAAAGATGAATAACGACTCTTAGAAACTGACGTGTGTACTAATCAAGCAAATACAAGTCCATAAAATTCAGTAAGCGCATGTGATGGGTGGACACAGTTAAACAGGCACCTGTAGATCGTGTTCTCTGTGCTATTACATAAGTTGTTTCTTTGAGAATACTTTGCTCTTGGACCCCATACGGTCAGCAACAATACTCAGGTAGGCTGTGGTGTTTAAACCATGCTCAGTTGGTACTAAGAAAATCTCCCCCACACCATTACACCACCAGCAGCAGCCTGAACCGTTGATACAAGGCAGGATAGATCCATACTTTCATGTTGTTTACACCAAATTCTGACCCTACCATCTGAATGTGGCAGCAGAAATCCAGACTCATCAGACCAGGCAACATTTTTCCAATCTTCTATTGTCCAGTTTTGGTGAGAAAATCCGTTTGAATTGTAGCCTCAGTTTCCTGTTGTTAGCTGACAGGAGTGGCACCTGGTGTGGTCTTCTGCTGCTGTAGCCCATTTGCTTCAAGGTTGGACAAGGTGTTGTTGCTTCAGAGATGGTCTTCTGCACACCTTGGTTGGAACCAGTGCTTATTTGACTTCCTGTTGCCTTTCTATCATCTTGAAATCTTCAAAATCTTTCTAAACTAACTATATACTTGGTCTTCAATATGTCAATACTGTCACCAAGATGTACTGTATGTATGAAATTTGGTGATTACCTGGTCAATCATGAGAGATTTCTGACCTTAAAAACTAATATATTAGCCTTTAGTAAGTCATCACCCATGAGTATTTCAAGACACGAAAGTCTGAGGTTTAAGTCAGTGAAGATAGATGAGGACAGAGGTCAGACTTTTTTGAAACAGCAGCTTTCAGTCAATGCACCTAAAATCAAGTGACTGTTAGCCACCTGCAGGTCGCAGTAACATCAGCCATAATAGTTAGAAAAAATAATATTTACAAAGACAGCTCAGCTCTTACTTTGTTTTCAGAGAATTTGCCTAGCTCATTGTACTATGTGATGTGATATGCCGGTTTCCTTTGGCATATCTGGCACTCAATTGTTTGTGGGTCATTTTTGCGAATTTTGAAACTATTAAATATTGACTATTGACATGACTTTCATGACATCTTGGTGGCTCATCTATAAGCATATCCTGTGTGGTCAAACTGTTCCAGTTTCAGTAGTTCTTAACTGCTTGTGACTGATGTTAGATGAAAGTGAATTGGAGTCACAAAACTATCTTTAAGTTTAAATAGAAAATAACCAATAATGATAATATTAATAAATAACTAATAATGATAAGAAATGTTGATGCAGAATGACTAATGTGAATAATGTTGGATTACTATTTTAAATCCCATTGCTGGTGTTTGCAATATAGTGTAAATACACGGTACTCCCATTGTAAAGAATTAACAAAATAGGCTAGCCTCAGGAAAAACATTTTCCTTTTCGATGAGTCTTGGAGCTGTCGCTGCAGCTGCACTTGTCTTCCGTGTGTTGTTTTTTCTTGTTGCTGGTAGGTATTCTCCTTTTTTATGTCATTTAACAGCACACTAAAACACTTGTAGGCATATATGCTGCCCCGTCAGTACAGAAAGAACTTAGTACTGTAGTATTGGTTCTTGTGACCTAAATAGCCAGTGAGCTAAAACAACATGTATGTTTTAATGCAGTATTTCTATTATTTAAAAATCACCATGAGCACAGAGAGAATGCTGTTCATTAGGATTTTATTTTTTGGAGGCAAATCAATGAATATATGTACTTTATACAGTATATGAGGAGCACATCTCTACAGTTTCATAATGTAAACAATCTCTGAAGAGAAATGTATTCAGTTTAAAAGGAAGCCATAGTCTTCTGTTTTAAACTATTTACATGAATTAAAATATAATTTATAACATCAGATACTTCCGCTTCTATGAAACTAGATTTTAACAATTCAAAAATACTGAAATGCCTTTGTCTCCACATTCTCAAGACATATGAAATCACACAAAACGGAGAAGAAAAAAAAAACACCATTTAAAGACATCCAAACTAAGTGGCGTATAAAAAAAAGTAACGCAAAATAAAACCAACATATGTAAAAATATAAAATCTTACTAGCAGTATTTACCTTTTTTGTTTTACCAAAAACTAAGTTAAAAAAGAAAAAAAAAATCATTTGTGAATTTGATAGTCATTAGATGTAAATAGACAATAAAATCAATAGTAATGAAAAACAACAAAAACAATGTATGCCCTTTGTCAAAATTTTTTCTTCCACCAAAAAAACACCCACTCACATTTAGCAGATTTTGACAGTTTGCAGTCCCTACTAAGTGCCGATTTGACATCACTGTTGCCATCAAGTTTGACAGAATACCCATCAGTTTCTGTGGATTGTACAAGGTTGATGTTTAAACGTGACACAACCATTTCGCTGATCAAACATGGACGTGGAATCTGAGGCCGGTATTGCAAGCACTCCTGTCCTGGTAGGGGCTAATTTGATGGTGTAGCTAGCTGACAGATACATTGTTTTCCCAAACTAAAACAGTAAGTGACGTAAAAACAAAGAAGTGTTTTTAGAGGGCCATGGCATTGGAAACATGACATCTATAAAACTGAATCTCATGCAGCCGTCAAAAACATCACATTTTTCACGAGCCGCCACAAGCCACGCTCTTTATTGTTGTTTTATTTTTTGGTCAACTTGCCTATCAAGTTTTACAGTTTTCTTGCCATTTCCCATTTTTCTGAAATGAAGAATGGAAAGAAAGGTATTGCATTCTGACGAGGGTAATTCCCTTTGGAAGGATTTTTTTTTTTAACTTTTTTTTTTTTCTTTCTTTTTTTGGATTCGTTGTCCATCGACCTAGGACCTAGACCGAGTGGACAGCGGTATTATTATGTTGAAATGTGTCAACGTGTTCTCAAAACACTGAGGAGAATGGTCAACATCAAAGTTTTCTATAAGAAAGTATATAATCATCTAGATATCTACACAAACACACAAATATATATTCATATATATATGTATATACTTTTTATAATATGGCTATTGAAAAAGTTTTAATTACGTCAGTAATTATTTCATAATAAACCACATTGGATTGGAAAGGAGTTGAAACAGTAATAATAAAAGCTAGTGGTAGCTTTGTTTTCCCCCCGATTGATTTTTAAGGCTTGCCATGATGAAAAATGGGGTCGTTTTGATGTAATTCACCTCTAGAACAACGGAGGCACCCTCACAGGCACAGCGGCAGCAACTGTAGAAATCCCACCACATGCTCTCAGCTTCAACAAGTCTCAATTTTAGATTACATGTTTTGGATCTATCCTGCTTAAGTACTGCAGTCTTGCAGCGTCTCCCACCAAGTTGGACCATTATCATTCTACCATTCTGTAATGTGTAATGAATTTGAATGAAGTAGTGGTGCAGCAGTAAAAGTTTCCTACAGTGTCTGCCTTATCTGAAACTCGAACTGGGTCAAACCAGCGACAACTTGCTTTTTTTTTCTCCTTTTCATCCCTCCCACATTCCTTTACCAGAGTCATACAAGTATAGTTATTGGCTGTTAACTGATATACGAGTAAGTGCTGAATGCAACTCAGATTTGAACAAACCTGTGCACCATCAAAAGGTGGTGATAACATAGTTACAACGGCTTCCTTTTAATGAGAAGAAAACATTGTGAGGATATTTCACTACTTGGGACGTTATTTGTGCAAGAGTATAATAGTATGATTCGTTCTGTATATGTGTTATGTGTTGACAACGTGACTAACCACATTCTTCCTGTAGTTTGTTTTTATAATTTTTTTTGTGTTTAACAGCAGTCTACATACAGTACAGTAGCCTATTGAATCTGCAGCTCAAAGATTGCCCGTGTTGTAGTTCAACAACCAACCATACACCTTTACATTATTACCTCAGTTTTTCGGAAAGGCTGTCTTAAAGATAAGATTATTATGTATTGCATTTCAAATTGCTTTTTAAGAAAACAGAAAACATTGAAAAATATTTAGTCATTTTATAAACAGCAAAGAAATAGAACCTTCTAGTGTGATGGTCTAAAGGGATACTTGGATCTTTTTTGTCTTTCTTTTTAAACAGTGTTGGACTTTGTGTGAAGTTATTTCAGATTTTCCCTTCATTTCCTCCCTGTACTGAACAAACATTAGAACTAAACTGACCTGACCATCTATCGACTGATTAGCAATCAACTATGACCCGCCACTTAAAAAAAAACAAACAAAAAAACAAAAAAAACACACAATACATTTTATGTTTACAACGAGGCATAGTGCTATATACACATTTTATATTCATATATATTATATTTCTTTTTTTAATATGTAAACCAGCACATTCTCTCACTTTTTAGTAGTATACATACTAAGCACAAATACTCATTCAGTTGTTTGAGATTAGTTGTTGAAATGTATTTTTTTTTTTTTAATCCTTTTTTTTAAACCGTGTTTCTCAATCAGTATGTATAGCACTAAATTGGTTTTGTTAGTTTTGGACATCAGTGAGCCTGGAGAAGGTAACGCTAGGCCTCTACTTCCTTTGCTGTTTTTTTTTTTTTCTTTAAACACTGAATAAGGCGCCTTTGTACTTAGTGTGCGTTCCTAATAAAGTCAAAGGAGAATCGAGTGATGTAAACATTCAATTTTTTGTGTGTGTTACCAAGGAGTTGATTAGATAGAGAAAGGTCGAGGAAGAGGACGGGGAAGAGGGATTATCTGTTAAAAAGCAGGGAGTTCACCAGGCTTTGGGGAAGACCTGGAAACAAGGTCTTGAACCCACAAGAGAGACGGAAAGCGATAGAGTTAAAGTTAGAGATAGAGAGTCGGGCTGTGGATTATTGAAGTTCCCGGTCAAGGAGAGGAGGAACAGGGGGAATCAGGACGATTGGCGTGTCCCTGAATAAAACAAGAAATTCAGGGGAGTCTTCCCCTCCAAGCGCACTCAAGGACCAGCCAACCTCCGAGCCACCGTTCAACCCCTCCTGACCTGTCCTCACCGACCTGCAAGCGTCAGCAGTGTCCGACTCAAACACGAGACAAAGACAAAACACTCAGTTACACAAGGACACACAGTCGAGACTCCAAGAAACGGACACGCTAAAAACCGTTATGAGGCAAGCGAAGGAGGAGATAGAGACAGAGAGAGATTATTCCCCTCGCAAGGGGTTCAGTGGTAGGAGGAGTCATTGTATAAAAAAATCAAACACAAACCCCCAACTACCCATAACCGCCCATTAGTTGGAGAAACCCTCACACAGAGAACATTTCTGACAAAAAAACCCCCAACAAAGTAAAAGACTTACAAAAGAGGCTGGGGGAGAGCATCCAGTCGAAGGAGGAAATAAAAACACAGGGGGAGCAGGGAGGGATGGATGGATGTGAGGTAGAGATGCTCAGCTGATACAGTACCTCCCGGACGAGAAACCTGATTCTCGGCCGATTGCTCTTTACATTACTTTCAAGCCCATCCCTCGCTCGTTCCCTGGCTGTGTAGGTTTGGTGCCACCGGATTGGCAGGTTTGGAGGCTCTCTCCCTTATTTTCACGGCGGGTGCTACTGGCTCTGTCGGGATTGTAAAATAGGCGCTACCCAGACTGCACTTCAAGCCTTGATCTGTCGCATGCAGTCAACCAGACAACAAAGCAACCTCTACCTTTAAAGCACCATAAAACTCCACAATCTTTGGGCAAGCAGGAATGGGGAAAACATGATGATTACATTCAGGTTCTTGAATACATTCCATCTGAACCAACAGATTCGTCTGCTCCTGGCAATGGCAGCGGATGGATTATGGGGAGCAAATTGATACTGTTCTCTATTGCACTTTGAAATCAAATGTCAAGCTGACCCATTGTAAAGGTCACCAAAAACAAAAAAGGGATTCCTGGACAATCAAAATTCCATTTACAGTACTTTGCCCTGTGATGACTGATGGACTTTATGTGAAAGAAGATTGGACTGGAATGATCTGGATTAAGTGCGGATGTGATGGACTCATACAGAGCTCAGCAGTGAACTAAGTATGGTACAAAAGCGTCATGGCTACCATCTTTATTTCCCCATTTTAGTCCTGCTTGCTGCAGTCCAAATGTAAACAGTAAGTTTTGCATTGGCTGTGGCATGCAGGGGGTGTCATTAGGCTGCAGCCTTTATTGGACACATGTTCAGTGGGACCCTATCAAAGATACATCAAGACCCCCCTAGATGTGGAAAAAATTACCTGGAATCAACCAATGAAGTACGTAAAAACCCATTTTGGAACAACCGTGACCCTACTCTTACCCAGCTACTGTTTTAACCCAACCCAAACATTATGTCTATCTTTAGACCCCTTATTTCCAAATATAAACCCCTTATTTCTAACTTTAGATTCCTTATGTCTAACTTTAGACCCATTCTTTCAAACTTCAGGCCATTTATTTTCAACCCTAGTCCCCTTATTTCCAACTTTAGACCCTTTATTTCTAACTTTAGGCCCCTTATTTACAAATTGGGCCGCCCCCTTTTTCCCCCCTCAACTTTAGGCCCCTTAATTCTAACTTAAGACCCCTTATTTCTAACTTTAGGGCCAATCCTGTAACTTGCTTTAATCTTGACAGTGGTCATTCAGTCACACTTGAAAGTTCTTTGTATAATATAGTCACATAATAGAATTTTTTAAAAAGTACAGCAGAACTTAATGGGCATTTTGTTTTTACTTTAAGTGCTTTTCCAATAAATACTTATGTACATGTGGAATGGAAACATTTCGAGGTAAACTTTTTCCCAGAACCTAATCGGGGGCCTTGATGTATAAAACGCCTACCAAACAGAGCCCTCAGCAGCCAGTAGCAGAAGCCAAAATAGTCAGCATGGCAGAGTTAGAGATTAGATTCAAAGTGGGACAGTGGAGGACAGCGGAGACATTTACCTCCTTACAGTGCATAGATCAAATCAAGGAAGCACTACAATTACAAAAAAGAAAAAAACATGATTTTTTTCTTCTTCATTTTAGATTTGTAAACTTTATCAGTCATCAAATGATTACGTTAAATGTTTTTTTATATTCTTTGTCCATAACACACACACAACAGATTTTGAAATTTATAACATCCACAATTTTCGCTAAAACAAAGCAGGGTTATTTTTTTTATTTGAATTTTTTTGTTCTGGTTATACAACCGCACAACTTCATGGTGAACACAGCTTGCAGGTTCACCACCCGTAACCGGAAAGAGGGTAGGGGTTTCTTTTTTTATTTTTTTTTTACAAAACAAACAGAACATAGAACACGCACACGCAGAAACACACACCACAACGACCAACGCAACGCAGGAATAGCAAGGATTTGCTACAGAGGTCTCTCATGCCCGCTCTTCCAAGCTGGGCAATGATGTCACCAACACAGACGGTTTTGTTATTGTTGTTCAGCAGAGAACTGAATCATTTATCGTTTTTGTTGTTGTACCATTGCTGTTAAAAGTCCTGTTTCCTCCATGGTCTCTTAACTCCTCTGGACTCCCAGTGGCTTCCTCGTTTTTAAGCAGTATCCTCCGGTGAAAGAAACTTAAAAAACAACGAGGTCCTTATCGTTACTTTATTCCAATGGTAAAAATGTAAACATTTTGCGAGGTCGCCTTGCATGGAGGTACTAAGAGGCCTGTCTTAGGGCAGAGCCGTGTAGTTGGAGGGGTGTTGCTGCAGTTTACTAAGGCTGGCCAGTCAGGGGGTGCCGTGCTGTCAGCGATGCAGGGACTTCTGGGCCTCTTTCAGCAGAGTGTCAAAGTCCAGTGCATCGTACTTGCTCTTGACGGGGCCCGGGCCGGCCTCATCTTAAAGACAGAAAATCAAGGTCAAATTGTTTATCTAAACCAGTGTGAATAGTACTTGTATATAAATTCGGCTTCAAATAACATATCAGTTATGAATCATTCATTTGATCTAACTCCGCATCAGAGAGAGAGTTATGACACTCGTTTTATGGCACCTGAAGATTGCAGCATCCCAACACAGCACCGCTTCATGCTGTTAAAACAATACTCACACCTTGGTTTAATTATTATAGAAAACCCCTTTGATTCTTTTGATCTGATGACCCTTATGGACTAAAAGAATGTGAATAACTCAATGGGTAATTGAGGAATTGATACATGTTTCTTGTTTACCATGCCCGTAAATTTCAATAAATTACTGTATTCTTTGGTGCTCACGGCTTCACTAAAATGAACTCAACGATTCAATTGTGGAGAATCAAACCAAGCATATCGTATGTAGCATCTCTGTTTTGACATTTTATGCCCATCAAAGCAGCTAAATAACATTAGCTCAAGTAGTCAACAACCCGGTTTTATACAACCCAGAACTTCTATAAAAATTAAATGTTTGGCAACTAGACCAGGCCTCTAATTGAGACGGGCGTTTTTTTTGTCAAAACGTGTAGCCACACTGGTCTAGTAAAAGGGACTGGGTGTTTAATTGGGACTTCTCTTTTCATTGAAGTTTTATGGTATGTGCCTTTGTCACTACTTGCTTGTTTTAGGGATTTACATACCATCTGCGATGGTGGTGCGATAACCTCTTATATGAGTGTTTATTGTTTACATCATGCAAACCCAGGAGTTCATCTCCAGTGGAATCCTCTAGTAACAAGACCAGTACATAGTAAAGTCTGTGAACAATGCCATTCATGATGCTGCCAAACACACGGTTAAAAAGCAGGTATGTGTCTGGCAGTAAACTTTTGTGGTGCTTTTACAAAGAGTTTAGCTTTGGTGAATTCTGATACAAAAACTTGCGCCATGATCCAGTTGCAAACCCTTTGACAAATCTATTTTCTTAGTCTAAGTCTAGAAACAAAACTAGCTACTAATCTCTAATAGTTTCATATAGACAGCCAACACTAAACCTGGCATAGTCACTTTATCATCAAGCTTTATCATCATGCTGGTTTACTGTTCCAGCCACTCAGTAAAAGTATAACTCAGTATAACTTTGTGAGTGTGTGTGTGTGTGTGTGTGTGTGTGTGTGTGTGATTACCAAGATCTATGTAGCGTTTCCTTGTCAGCCTCCGTAGGCCTGCAGGTCCATTCTGGAAAACAGTTTCCTGTTCTCTCCAGTGCTTTTGAACCCCTGACTGGCGGATCTTTATCACCCCACAGCGCTCCCTACAACCAGACAGGTAGAGAGACAGATACACGCATTATGATGATGATTGCTTTTGAGAGGATGAGTGGAGACATGTTATTGGCATCAGTAGAGATGGAGAGTGGTGACAAATCATGTGCATCCTGTCATTCAATGTGCATTCAATGTACAAATTGAAAAAATAAATAAGTAAATTTGATTGACGTAGTCCAATACAGGAAAACAGCAGGAGAAATGAAACCAAAAACATTCTGACTGATACCTGATCTGTATTTACTAGATCAAGTATATTTCAGGACAGTATAATTTTTGAACATGAGTCCAAGGTAAGTGTAAGGACAAATGTTTGGGGTTGTATGCAACAGAAAGAGGACACCCTTTTTTAGTTTAGCTTTTTAAAGTCATATTTAATTAATCCCCGTGGGTAAGTTTGTCCTCTGTAAACCACCCATTCTAACTATTTAGTATCAGTGGCCAGCAACAGTGCAGAGCCCAGGGACTCCAACTCCAGTTCTGAGGTCAGTGCCTTGGTCAAAGGCACATTTAAAGGTACTGTGCGTAACTTTTTACATGTATCAATTCTTTTTTTTTTTCGACAACTGTTGACAGGTGAACAAGATGGAAGGTAACTTAAAAACTGAGACCTTCCCTGACTTTCTGTGTTTCCATCTGGCAGCCTGTGGACTGATTTCTTTGTAAAGGACTCAGTGTGCAACCGTAGCTAATGTTAGCTAAGAAATGGAGTCCACTTGCATCAACAAATGACTGGCAACCACCACAACACAGAGTTTCCGTTATATACATTTTTGACAGTGGCCTGGAGATAGACCTTAATACCCTGTAGCAACTTGAATTCAGCCAGAGCAAGACTGGATGCCTAAAGGCCGGGGGTCTGCCCTTTGGACTGGCCCTAGTTCCTGCCAGAGTAGCAGAATTTCTATTGCTGTCTCTACATGGGTTCGACCCAGCGCTGCTTCGGGCCACCAGCCCACTGTGAACCACTGGTTTGGGTTTGCTTGAATGATTAACACTGTCTAATTCATCCAGACTTAAGGGCAAAATTGGCTTGCTGCTTCCATGTGCAAATTAATTTACCAGATGACATCCCAAAGCCACCAACACCATATCCATGAGGCGTAGCTAAGTTAGAGCTAGTTGGCTAACCTTAGCTTGCTTGCTTTCTAATGTTATTGCTAGCAAGACACTGAGTGGATATGTTAGTTGGGTAGCTTGCCAAATTGCCTCACCAGCTAACATGATACTAACTTACAGTGTTGATTTAGTCAACAATAAATGATGTAATGGTTCAAAGCCCTTCCTGCTAGCCAAGAGCTAACCATGAACTATGCTCAGGTTAGCCAGCTAGCTGTACACCGTTGGTTGCTTTGTAATGTCAGCTAATAAAACAATTTGCAAATTGTTATAGGAGTTATAGGAACAGTGTCAATGATACATTATCCTAAATGTGATATTTATTTCCGATGTTCTATAAACATGATGACTGTCAGTCGCAGTTAGTCTCGTGAATGTCACATCAACATTTTAGCCGATGCCCAGGTGCTCATGCTCAGAGCAACAGGATGCTGACTACGGTTCACTTAACAGCCTCAGAGCGGTGTCACCAGTAACAACGTTGTTCACTCAGAAAGTTTGGAGTTTGAGCCTGGGACTCCTGTTAGTGCCAGATGTCTCATAGGCAGGAGTCAGTGGTTATGTATGTTGCAGAAAGAGGTGTCCCAACTTTTTAGACAAAGAACTGAAAATAGTGGCATAAATGATGACTCAGCATTGGAGCAAAAACAGGAACACCAGAGGCTCAAACTGCTGCAGCAGTCATTACAATGTTAGTTTGCACAAGTACCACCAGACTTTTTCTTTCAGACAAGAGATTAAGAGAAGATATTAAAGTATATTTAAAGTTGTTCCAACAAATTGTCAGTTTGTGATTTTCAGTCCTGCTGAAGACTTTAAAATGTTTGTAGCCCACTGACTGGCAGGATTGGTTCCTCAACAACTTCCTTCTTTTTGTTTTGTGGTGTTCTTACATCTCAACAGTTTCCCAGAAGTTGCCACATTACTTCAGGGGAGTTGAGACAGGCTTTTCTGATGACTTGCTATTTACACTTCAGGTCCAGTGACTCAGTTTTTTTAACGTTAATCTCTCAATGTACTATGAATTAATGACATTGCAACATTATCTGACTACAATACTTTCATTTTGTTTTACGGGCTGCATTTTAAAACTAGCAAACTGCGACCGATAGCACAAGAACCAGGTTAACTGCATCTCGGAAAAAAGTTCTCCTATCTTCTCTTTTCCAGCAGGAGGAATTCAGATCAGGACACTTACTCGTTGCAGATGATGACTTTGCAGTCCTCAGGTTTGCCGAAAACCTGGAAGCGTTTCCTCAGCATGTTCTGGGTCACGCTGGTTGGCAGGTTGTGGATGTAAAACACCTGGCAGTTGTCCTGGCAACAGGGAAACCATGGCAACAGTCAGGACAAAGGACAATACAGAATACAGACAGACGTGGGAACTGAAGCAGGAACGCTGAGTGTAGGGCGGCATCCTGAGGCTCAACACTTCACATGCCCCTCTGTTCATCTGCATGCAGTCTGTTGTTCTGATCCTGCAGCTGCAGTATCCTTCTGAAGATACATTATGTGTTATCAGTTTGCTTATGTGTGTTTACACGTGAAAACTCATGTACCAAAATCATCTTTGGATGCTTCAGGGCATGGACTATTTGACTTTTAGAAGTGTGTTGTACAGTCTAGTGAGCTCAGGGCTACTGAGGTGGAGTTATTTTAAAGTTTCAGTATGCAAAAGAGCCTGAATGTTCTTTTCACCTCATCAGACTTGGCTTTGTTCCTCTGTTCGTCGTCGGGACAGATCTCCGAGTTTTCACTATAAGAGGACAAGGAAGAAAAGGAGACACAGAGAGAGGATAGTGAGTGAGATAAGGGCAGACACAAGGTGAAACTGAAATGTCAGACATGAGGAAACAGGTGAACTGCGGCAAAAAAGGAGACTTTCTCCCACCGACTGCAGCACAGCATCGCTCTGTTCTCCTTTCTCTTACATCCCCACCCTTTTCCCTGCCATTGTCTTCCATGTACAGAAATAATATGACCACTGACCTTATTCTCAGTGAGACAGCCAAGTCAAACTGTATCTTACACAGGTAGAAATGAATACTGACCTTATTCTGAGTTAGAGCAGTACAGTCTCAGAGTGAAATGTTTATAGAACAGTTCTTTTCATACTGTATTTCTGTTGACATGCTACAGATGGTAATGCCTGCCAGTGACTGAATACATCACCTTCACAGTCCAGTGCATCACCGTATGTACAGTACGTAACCTTAACTAGGATTTAAAGGAAAAGTGCTTTATGGAACTGGCCCCTGGCATTCAACCTAATCTTTCTGTCATTTTGGTGCCTTTGTTTACTCTCTAGGGTTGCGTGATGATATACTGTTACTATTTGGATGATACACATTTTTCCACTGTCAGAGATTTTTCCATTTTGCAAACATACTGTTCCTGTAGCCATTCTTTGATACAGCTACACGAGTACATTTATACTGGTTGGTGTGCCGTATGTGGCCCAATGTGTTGAGAAAATTACTTCAGAGTTGTACTTGGATTGACTTGGAGTGTATAAATGTCTAAAATGTCCTTCAATAATGCAGAGTTGTTCTTTCTTTCACATCCTCTTTGGAGTTTATCTCGGTCTAATACTGTGTTCTACTTGTATTGTTTCCTTCCCCCTGCCACATTCTTCCTTTTCTTTCTCTCGATCTGATACTCCCCCTCTACATTTCATTGTCAGTCTTATCTCCTTGACCCACATCTTAACACCTCTCCTTCCCCTCCTCCTGCAGACGCCGTCTCTCTGTCTCACCTGGAGTCTGTCTTGCTAGCGGGGGAGTCGGGACACAGGTGGAGGATGGGCGAGGGTGAGCGAGATGCACACGAACGCTCCGCCTCTTCCTCTGAGGCCGGTGGTGTGGCAGCTGCCGACTGGCAGTGCGACGGCGCCGTTGACGGTATCACCACTGGCGTCGTCTGCTGCTCGAGCGGTTCTGCAACTTCTGACACCACCAGCCTTTCGCCGTTCTCCTTTCCATTTCCATCCGCTACCTGATCGTCAGCTGCTTTGGGTGCTGAGGTGCCAACGCCATCGCTCCCTCCTTGCGCCTGCAATATGGCGCCCAGCATGGCAGCACTACGCTTGCGGCTCTCCCCGAGGCTCAGCACACAGTAGTCGTGGTCACCAAAGGTGCGGTGGGTGTCGCTGTCACCAGCCTGGCCCATGCGCCGCAGCTGGGCGTACAACTCTGTCTGCTCTGGAAGCTTCCGCTGGTGATGAGCACGGCTCAGCCAGGATGAGCCCTTCGTGGCAACACTGGTGTTGGTGCTTGAGGACTCGCTGCCACTTCCTCCACCATCCCCACTGCTGCCACCACACGTTCCTTCACCTCCCTTTCCTCCATCTGCCGGTTTGAAGAGCTCATCCTCCACTGGTTTGTGAGGCGGGGTGGTGGGAGGGGTGAGACCTGAGGAGAGAGGGAAGAGATACCCACATGAGCAGGAAATGAACTGAACCCTGCCAGGACATATTCCAACACATTACCCTCATGTATCTACAGTGTATATGCAAGAATACTGAACATTAATTCAGTGCCTTTAAGACTTCTTTAAAGAAAATGTCTTTATATATGAAGATCTCGTCACCACTTTCAATCACATTTATTATACTCTGATTGCGAGGTAGCACAACTAAACAGTCTGAGTTTGTGATAACTCCTTGGACAATTTTATCAACAGATGGGTCAACAGGGTGGGAACAAAGCTCAAGAGAATGAACTGAGTGACTAACCCAATGCAAGGTTTATCAGAAGGACTAATGTCCGACATACACAAGAGGTAGAAATGATTGCTACAAAACAGATGCCCATTTGAACTCTTTATTATTATTATGAGTGAGTTATCATGTTTTATTTGTGTGACATGGCACATTTTTGGAGTTGTAAACAGTTTGACCAAAACATTTAATGTTGTTGTTTGTTGTTGTATTGTGTATACATGATAAACTTTCTATATGTATTTGTGTTCTTTCACCTTCTTGTATGAACATAATAGCTAAATGTTTATATTGACTTTTGACCAGCTTCCTTGACCCTGTTATTTGTAGCTCTATTTCTGTTTCTGTGTATAAATATTAAAAGCAAACAACTTTTTTATGTGTACACATTCCTGACTAATAAACCTGAGTCTGTTTTGTTCTGTGACTCTTTTTATGTATAGTATGTCATAAAATGTCAATAAAAGACATATTATACTATGTCATAAAAATGCCACAATAAAGTATGTCTAAAACAGTTTAAAAAAATGAATTAAAAACAGTTGTAGTATATTGTGTCAAAAAAAAAAACAATCATGGTATACTATGTCCTAAAATTACATGACAAAACATCATAGTATATTATGTTGTCCCAAATCATGAAAAGAAAACTCAAAGTATAGTATGTCATCCTAAATCATGATAAAACTTAATAGTATAGTAAGTTGTCGAAAATAATGAAAACAAGTCATAGAATAGTATGTCGTCCGAAATCATGTAAAAACTTCATAGCATAGTATGTCGTCCAAAATCATAAAAGAACATCATTGTATAGTATGCCATCCGAAATCATGATAAACTGTCACAGTATAGTAAGTTGTCAAAAATAATGAAAAGAAGTCATAGCATGGTATGTCAGCCGAAATCATGAAAAAAAGTCATAGTATGTCCTCCCAAATCATGAAAAAAAGTCATAGTATAGTATGTCGTTCAAAATCATGAAAAAAAGTCATAGTATAGTATGTTGTTCGAAATCATTAAAAAAGTAATAGTAAAGTATGTCGTCCGAAATCATGAAATAAAACTCATACTATAGTATGTCGTCCAAAATCAGGAAAAAAAAGTCACAGTATAGTATGTCATCCGAAATCAGTAAAAAACTTTGTACTATAGTATGTCGCCCAAAATCAAGAAAAAACGTAATACAATAGTATGTCATTCAAAATCATGTAAAAACTTCACAGTATAGTATGTCATCCGAAATCAGGAAAAAAGTCATAGTATAGTATGTCGTCTGAAATCAGGAAAAAAGTCAGACTATAGAATGTCGGCCAAAATCATGAAAAAAAGTCATAGTAT